CATCTTTTTTCACCGAACTTTTTTTTCTGTTTTCTCCTTTACTTTTGAACTTGTTGAGTGTTGTCACGCACGCCTATTAATTATATGAACGTATTAATTATACGAACGCATTGACGAATCATGAATCCGTGTGTTAATTTCTTCCCAAGATCAAAATATATGTACTACTGAACGATTGTCCACTGGTAATAATGTGTAACAATTTCATTGTTACGTATGTAACAGTTTCATTATTAATATTTGAATGAATTACTGGAGATAAGATTGCGTTGTGCCTTTGCACTTATCGCTTTCCTAGCCTGAAGATTACTTATTTCAATGCTTTTCCATCAAAAAATCATGCTTTCAAGGTCCTGCTCATTCTAGTTCCAAAGTTACATCTTCGGAGAGTTTCGAGGACGGGGATGAGATTGAGTTTTCTCTCCCCCCCCCCCNCCCCCCGAAACTCCCCGTCCCCGACTTTTTTCCCTACCCGCACAACACTAGTCTAAACATTCAGTGTAGAGTTTAGAAGGGCTTATGATCAAACTGGAGATCTGAGCCGGCATCATCCTCTTTCTTATTGTTAATAAAATGCAATGCAACTGTCAACGATGAAGCGGACACAAAAAAAAACATAAAATTGTTTCCAAGAAAGAATCGTGTTCATCAAAATATCAGTTCACTACCAAAAAAACCAGATCTGATACAACTTAAAATATTTGTTCAAAACCCCCATCCGAAACTCACTTCAAATATGAACGTTGAATTGCTTCTGGTGAGAAATATTCTGATGTTCGTAGCACGGATATTTGTATTGAAAATTTAAAGTTTCGAATCTGAAACACCAGAGAGCTACGATACTTCGAATAACTTTTTCATCGGTTAAAATTTCGCATCTCCTGCTCCAAATGAGCCGAATGGAATAATAATTGAAATGTACCAAAAATCATTTAGAGGATAGTGCTGATTCACATAGCAATATTGATTAGCTTTGTATTTGAACAGCATTTCGCTTTTTCATCGATATGTTTACATTCTATGTTGGCTGAATAAAAAAGCCTTTATCTGATTTCATATCACAGATGGAAGGCTTTTGTTGATCTGGAAGGTATACAACCGACATTCCCACACAAATGATGTGTTGAATTAAAAAATATAAAAAAACTGCTTCGTCTATCCTAGCAAGTGCGCAATACCATCTGTTTGCTACAATTTCACTTGAAATTTAATTCAGGCAAAAGCTCAAACTCATCCATGGATTATAAAAAGAAATATCATGAAATTAAACTGTTGCTAAAGTTCCACGATGAAACGGATTGTTGAAAGGAAGAATCAAGGTAACTGCCTATGTTACTTATTTACTAGTTGTCAGGAAAATATATTGTTCATTGCAAAGTGCAATAAAATTGCAGTGAGTTGATGGCTACATGACAATGATGGCTTTACATTGCATTTTTTGGAACAATTTTTTAATGTAAATTTTCCCAAGAAAGTGACACGGTTGTGAGAGGCATCGAACTTCCACACCGCTAAGTACACATTGTCTTTTTTGGAGGTTATCTATTGTATTGTAACAAATCGCCGATTTTCCAAGAAAAAAGTTTACGAAGTGCAATACATTCCAAAAAGTACAATGTATTTGCACTTTACTTAATTGTACTAGTACTTTTCGTGAGCATATTTTAAACAATGAGTTTCAATTTTTATCAGTGATTACTGAAAGAATCAGTTACCGCAGGTAACTGTGGTGGAATCAACAAAACTGATACAGGCCCATGAAAAACTGAATGCTTATACATTTTGTATGATAAAATGGGCCATTGATAACACTGACTTAACAAACGAATAAAATCGTTATCATCTGTAAAGAAATGTTAAAAAGGGCCACAGACTGGAAGCAAATGTCAATTTAAAATTTTTTATTGAATCCTCAAAATGTTTACAGTAAAGCTATCATCTTTTCAATTCATATCTCACATCAATATTTTTGCATCGGTGGGTAAGTGGAACTGGCTTAATTTGTTTGGGTGAATAGAGCATTTTAAAATAAGAAACAAGAAAACCCACGACTGGAGACACTCGTCCATCAAAAAATTTTTATTGATCAGCTTAAAGAACTAAATGGAACGTAAGTACTTTGCAGATAAACTGATTAAATATAAATGTCATCATAATGTTCACCATCGACTTGAACTTAATCATCTTCAGATGTTCAGTTGAAATGCAAACTCTAATCGAAAATATAATTTATTGTACAATATCAGAATACAGTATTCATTCATCGTTACTTTTCATAAGAATGCAGCTCGTGAGTCTGTAGGAAGACTCATGCTCTTGTTGATACTATCAGCACTCTTTCCTGCTGCATGATTGCTCTTGTTTACATGATATAAATAAAGTATATTGATAAGGGCACATTGTATTCAGAGTTCATTTCAGTATACGTGCTGTCAATAAGATGACGTTCACTATCCTTTATACCAAACTGAACGGCACTATTGATCAAACTACTGCATCACAGTCCTCAGTTTTCTTCAAATATTTATCGTGCAACATTTTATTGCAAAAAACGTGAACGTAGTTCAGTATGGGCATTGCTGCGAATCTCTCAGCAAAAAACAATCAAAAAAGAACCAAGATATGAAAGGCAGATGAAATCGACGTTTTTTAAGCTAGAGTGAAAACAGCGTGAAATACATCAAAAATAGAGCGTCTCAAAGCATGAATGTGAAGTGTAAAAAATTGTTTATGAGCTATCACGGAACGTATCTTGCAGGATGGTTGGATAAGGAACCGTTAAGCACTAAAACACCATTGAAATAACCTCATGAATGCAATCATAAATACAGTTATGAAATAACAATGTCGAAACAAGAAAAGGGTTAACAATTGAACAAGTAATTACACCACCTCACAGGATTTTAAAACATTTTCGGTTGACTAGATTTTTAATCGATTCTTAATTAGCTTTCTACGCTGATTCTTCACCGATGGTTCATTTCAAGGTGGAATTCACATATGAGGGTGAATATGGATATTTCAGGGGTAAATTAAAAGGAATCGGTGATCTATCATTTCCTGGAGTTGATATGTTGCGATGGAAAGACCATTGCGATGTTGTTTTTTTTTACTTGCATGGCCCAACGCGGTTCACTCACGGTGTTGCTCTCCTGTTTTTTTTTTTTCCTTTTTTAAGTATCTGTAGCTCATCTAAGCCTGTTCGCTGATTATTTTGAAATATTTACGTCACCAATGAATTTCCCAATCGGTTCTCGATTTTCTTTTCACGTTATGCATATGTATTATAAATTATTGCACGGAATGTGTGGCCTACCACACCGTCAAAGGGGTGAACGGTGCATCTAAGCGTAGGAACCTCTGTTCTAGATGTACAACTTTTTATTCGTAACATCATTTCTTATTGAGTTGTGAAACCAGAAAGACTTATCACTACAGTGTTGCCGGTAATTAGGATTTTTTTGCTGAATCGATTTTTTCGTTAGTTTTCGTGAAGTGTTAGATGCTGTTTCCAGGTATTTAATCTATTTATCGGTATCATTAGTTGTTATTCTAATACCGTGTCAAAAGATTTTCTTTCAACATTGCCACGCATTCGCATCTGATACGGAGAGTTGCTACAATGCTTTCAATCGTGAACCTTTGGCCAAACAAATTGTTTTTTAACTATGGCCTTCAAAGCTCGTAAATATTTATACTGAGATATGCTTATTTCCAGGATGTCCGATACAGGGTGTAGAGATTCTTCAGACCGTTTTTTATCTTCTATTGCAAGAAGACATAAAACATACAAACATGAAACTGAAGATATCCCATAGTAAAAAACGGATTATATATTTAGAATCAGTGTGGAAAGCTTATCCAGAGCCGGTGAAAAAATCTATTCAACAATAAAATCAAGACACTGTGCTAGCAAAACAATGATATGGAGTAACGGATTGTTTAAATCGCGGCAAAATTAATTCAAAGTCGTTAAAGAAATACAGCGAATAAAAATCAACGTTACTGTAATTAAAGTGAGTGTAGGCAACAAAGACAGTAATAGTAACGACGATAACAACAGCAATATTTGATCATCATCATGAATGTATGGCAGGTAGCAGAAGAGCAAAAATCCTTTGAAAAACACTGAGTGGTTTCTCTGTAATAGTGGGATGTGAACCATTGTAATCAGATCATCTTTGTGCTTGAGAGAACGCCCATCCTTTACTTACAAAAAAAACTTCAAATAAATTCCATTTTCAACGCACTGATCATCGCCTTCATAACATAAATGATTAGTCATCTCACACATTCTTTCGCTGAACTGTGATTGAAAAAACATTTAACAATTTTATACCGACAAATGCTCTCATCGGAAGTTAATGATTTTCCGTGAGGAAGGGTTAACACCGGCAAAGTTAGTCATTCCACTTCATGCATTGTACTCCGATGAGAATCATCAAATGAATATTGTTCATGTATATTTTGACTGGTTCATCCTATCAAAACTTATCTTCCAACACTTTCAGAATGGTTAACCATCATGAATAGTGTGCCATAAAAAGTTCAATTCATGGCAGTAACACTAATAAATTCCTCATTGAATCCGATGATTCATTTCAGTATTCCCAAACGTGTTTAATACGACTCACCACTTATCGTAGCAGCAGCATGTATGACAAAAGAATAAGTTACTTGACTGCTCGATTATTCATACGTGTTTTTTCTTTCTTTCGCAATCGGGATTTGTTTCGAAATATGGTTTCTAGTCGTTATTGACAAGGAAAACCTTTGTGCTGACATCACAACTCACACATTTTACACGAATTAGGACAACTTAACGAATGAAGATAAATATATTTTGAAATGGAACAAACTTCCCAATCAGATATTGACGAGAAATAATCTGCAAATACAGATATAAAAACAAAGTGATCACTGAAAAGATGAAAATATCACGGCTGATTTGAATCACAGCAACGAATAATATGAATAGTTTGAAAAGCTAACGCCCTCATTTACAGAATTATCTGATTTTTGTAACTAGCACTGAGCTCCTTATATGGTAAAACGATCGAGTTGAGGATGACTGTTTCGGGAGGTACATGAACATCTGAGCCAAGGATAGTCAGAGAAGGATTAAGACGGCCGTCGACATTAAAGAGAGGTTTATTGTCAAGTTTAGCGAATGGAATATTCGGATTGGGTGAAATTGGTGTGCCTTCAACTCTTGCCCATGCACCAACCACACTACGCCAACCAATAACTGAATGTAATACGCATGCATGTTCATTTATTACTGCTTCACCCAATACAATAGTTTCACGAACACGTACACCTGCACCAATTCGTGCTTTTGCACCTATACTCACGTTTGGACCTATCTTCGCACTTGGATCCACCTGAAAATATTCGCTTTGATAATTTTAAGTCACCGAATCATAACTGTTCACTACTACCGTCAGGTACTCATCTCCTCGCAACGAATCCATCTTCTCTTACAATCCAAAACGTTCCATGATTGAATGCGTTGAATATAATCTTTCGCTCATATTTTTCAATGAACGAACTCCTTTGAGATACATCACAACTACTAGTTAAGACTATACCAGGAGTTGAGCAAAATGATAATGAGTGTCGTATAACTGGAGCGAATTTTGAACAAAAAACAGTGGCAAAATGAGAGTGATTCACTGAAAAACCTCGGCAGTTGGATCGATAAAAACATCGCCAATGATAAGAGCTCCATTTCTGCACAATCGTGGTGAACCACTACAGCGATATAAACGCAAATAATGACGATTCGCATACAACACTGCACTGCAAATACAAATTCTTATTCGCTGCTTGATACATAGTTCTTTTAAGAATTTATTCTTGTTATATTCATATTCGATTAGCTCGCATGAATTCTTGAATCGTCCAATCGCAATGCATATCAGTCAGATTTCAGTTTGCACCTTCCTATTCATCTTCCACAATTGATCATATTCTTTTTCATCTTCTTTGCTGCTAAGCAGGACGCAAAAATTGATACTAATCGTAAGTGCAGAATTTTTCAACAAAATTAATTTTGAGTTGCTCATTATAACTGACAAATACATAGTATCAAGCAAACAAAAAAGATACTATATATCAGGTAAGATGAATTGAAAGTTGCAAAAGAGAGCATAAAGGATTGGGCATAGATCGAGGAATTTCGAAAATGCATATAAAAGAAAAAATCATTGCAAACAAAGACGCAGCAACTAACGCAGCAGTTTTTGTCTGACTCCACCATCGTGTGGTGTGCAATGCAAATAATATTCCCTCGGCAGCCATTTGGGGGAATATTTCTGTCTCGAACCATACCTATTTAATTTAAAAAACGCTTAACAAACTGATAACGCTGAAGAATGTGATCTCTTGGATAAAATCAACTGATGATTCCATCTGGTTCTTAGTTGAATATTTGGTCGCTAAAACGTTCCACTAAAATTTTGCAGAAATTAATGTGAAAGAGGGAAATGGACCGTTCAGTAACCATCCATATAATACAATCCATAAAGGATTGGTATTAAAACAAGATAACGACGGCATAGGAAGGCATGTTATGACCATTAGAAGCTAGACGATTGACCAAATCATTTACCTGACTTGATTCTGAACAAGCTTGAGCTTTCGCAATCTCGTCGATTACTTGTCCACGTAAAAGATAAACACCACAAGAGATGTGCTGTGACACAAATGTCGTTGGTTTGTCCACATAATGCAACACCTGAAAACCAACTTAATTTCAAAATTGATAATTACGTTTTAAACATGAAAAACCGGGTCATCTGTCAATAAAATGAACGAAAATTATTCTGATGACGAATTACAATTAACTTCTACTATTAAATGATAATCAATGAATTGAAATTCCTAATTTGTTTTATTTTGCAGAAATAGTCATAATCGAATTCATTTTCGGCAAAATTTATCATGCAAAATTACACAATTCATCAAAATGATCAGCGATAACTTTTCTTCCAAAAACACTTGAAGCCATTCCATAGAAAGCTAATAACTGAATTTTTTTTTGAGGTAACAGACAACAAAAAAGATTCATCCAGCACCCAAGTGAGCACATTTTAACAAACACCTCGGCATTTTCAGTTATGCTTAACAATTCCATCACATATAAAGACCTCAATAGACATGTTTTATTTTCATGGATAAATGCAGTAACTGGAATGGAGTCTTTTTTTTTGTAATTAAGACATAGAAGTATGAGTTACAAAGACGATACGAAATCACGACGAAAATAATAATGATTCATTTATATCAGCACTGAAGATACCTTTCCTGTAGGATCAATCACAACAGAACCAAAATTGACAGACTGATCACGCGTGGCTTCTGTAGTGAGTAGGAGGCAATGCGCTTCAGGTGTTGCATTCAACTTGTCAACCATCTCCAAGATTGGCAAATCACCACACACATCTGCATTTAGCACAAAAATACCACTCGGATCACCATTCAGAATAACATCTCGAAAATGATTAAGCCCTCCGGCAGTGCCCAACGCTTCCGGCTCTTCCAAGTATCTATCGTTTAAACAATCTGCATTATTTTCAAGATACATTCCCGAACATCGTTGGTCATATTCGGTTCACGCATTTATTCACATGGAAATGTGAACATTTAGTATGACACCTCTCCGCTAATGAGCACAGTGCGTGAAGCCTCTTACATGCTCAACAGTTTTGATTTTTGCACGGTAGTATTTAAAAAATTGACATTTGCTTGTTCGGATGCAGTCATCTTTACTAATTCAAATACACTCCACGTTAATACAACCATAAAATTGAAAACCAACCTGATCTTGATAGCATATTGTTTTTCACACCGATTTGTGAAATCTGCGAATTGATCGGATGGATAGAAACCAATGAGAAAAATTTCGGTCAAATTATTCAGCTGAAACATACTACTCAAGTGTAAACCATAGTGAAGGTTAGTTTGAAAATAATACAAAATGATGGCTTTTGGAGGAATTCGTTTGGAGGGATGAAAATTATTTTGAGTGATGATCAGAAAGTTTCAAATTACTGAATGAATAACATTAGAAAGTACTGCACGAATCCACAAGGTGCATTATAATAAATATATTAAAATACAAACTAGGCTTGATGTGATCCTCCGTATATATAGAAAACGTAAGAAAACAAATGACTGGTTGAAAAAAAAGAAAATAAGTTCTCAAAAATGAAATTGCAACCTTTGATAGTTGTTCGATATGATGCTCAATAAGGGGCACGCCAGCAATCGGAAATAACGGCTTGGGAAGTTGTAAAGAAAGTGGACGAAATCGAGTCCCTGAATGACAATCAAACGCGAAATGGACATTTGGAGATGAGGATGGCGAGAAGAACGGTTGGTATGAGCAGGAAGAAAACGTAGAGTGAAAAGAGGACCAAACCCGCGAGCAACATACCCTTTTGTGCACCACCAACAAGCACTGCTGCCTTCAAGGACATCCTAGACTGCGGTTGTTCAATGACCTAATTCAACATCTAATGCCTGAACACTTTCAACACACGATCGTTATGATTGTCCACTCAATCAATCAGAACAGAATATTGCTCTCTCACTCAAATACAACTGCAAAGAAACAATATTGCTCCGCAAACGTCATGCAAATTCGCGCAACAACGAGTTGGAAAATATAACATACAATGTACAATAACTGCACTCAAACCAAACTTAAATAATTAAGAAATTGAAAATCAGAATTAATGATCTAATGGCTTGAATAAACTTTAACATAAAATGCACAATAGTGTGCTTTCAACTTCGTCACTCGATCAGAATCACAAAATAACCAATTAAAATGTTATGAATACATTCAGTTGTTTTCATTTGTGATTGCGTAGTCAGCATGTCAAAGGAACGCAACGCACTTCCACAAATTTTAATGAACATGGGCAGCACTCCTATCACTTTGGTAAACGAAAAAACTAACGTGAAGTTCTCAAGAACTAGGGGATGGGTGACTGCGTAGGTCATTCCATGACGCTCAATTGAAGTTTAGGACGCCCAAACTAAGCAACACTTCAAAGATCATCGATCACTCTTAAATTTCATACGGATATGCTCTATACCATACTGAATCAATAAGAACATGTTGAAAAATCCAACACTTTAACTCAGACTACCTCATTCGGCTTTACAGCAGTAGCAGGTGCCCACCCTCCAAACTCTACCGGCCAATCTCGGAATTTGAAACTTATCTCACTCACACGCCCCACGTTGTAACAGTGGCATGAGTTTAAGCCAAATTCCACGTTGAATTTGAACCCAATTCCATAATCGAAAGCAAACCTCAGTATCAGTTTCGTATCACTGAGTTAAGGTTGGTCAAGTGCATACAATAACTAACTCGATAGGTTATGCAATTGTTATTCTAATGCATAAGCCTCCACACTGCGATAATGTTCCCATTAAACTGCCGAAAAAATTCCGAATTTTCAAAGATATGTTCTTCGAACCAGTATGCTTTAATTCAACCTTTGTGATGCCTGGGAGTGATCGGCGAAGTACGAACTGTTGTGCATCACAAACTGCAGCTAAGCCTAAGCCGAACTATAAGGGTACACGGATATCGAAGAGTGTGTGCAGTCATTACCACACCAATCCGTCCACGTTGACAAGACTGGCAAAAGAAAACGACAACAAAGATGTGACAAACTGCTGGCTTGTATGGATGAAACTCATGCTCAGCTTCCCGACCTACAGTTTCAATTTCTGCGCATGTCATTCGTGACATTCAAAAACACAATTTTATAATATATAAAAAGCTAACCCCAAACACTCCTTCTTTTACAAGTGCTAATAACAGCTCCCAATAAGTGCATACAGGTCATGGGCAATTAATTAAATTATGAGTGGTTTCGCATGCTTTTGGCTTAAACACACGTAATTCTTCGGGCATTACAGAAAGCGAGAATCACACGTCTGGACAACCTCTATAAACGTGATATAAATTGTTGTGGACCTCTCTAAACGTGATATAAATTCTTCGCGGCTTAAATAAACTCTCGCTCGTTGCTGTTCACCGATGTTAGTCAAAAAATCGTGTGGTTTATCAATGCCATTCCTTGTGCAACTGAAGTACTACAAGTGGGTGTCACTAGTTGAAATCAATCGAAACTCAGGCGTCCACCTCAGTCCACCGAAGTTCTAGTACGAGGCCCACGACGGGGCGTAAACTCACCCCAGACTCGAGTTCAAAATAATGCTCACGCATGCTTCTTAGGTAGAAATGAGGTTGGACGGATTTGGCGACCTAGCAACTTTAGGAACACTTCACTAACTGCCACGTTTGTTGGCACTCAACCAATAACTGTTCCTCCTAACTTAAATGGGAATGAATAACAGAGTATAAGCTAAATAATATTGCAATTTCACACATGTGTAATGTAGAACATGAACCCGAGAGTCCACCGTTTAATTTTAAGCATAAGCCGAAGCCCAAGATTAGGTGTAAATTTATGGGTAATTGAAGCGTAAACTCAGATAGATGCACTGTGACACTCGAGCGCATTCTCCAGGTTGTTTGCAAATGAACAAACTAACTACTGAATTGTTTGCAAGTGAATAAACTAAGTCCATTCGGTAAAATCTGATTATATTCGGCCGGATTCCAAAATTCGGATTTTGACCGAATGACTTCGAGGTTTTCTAAGAATACCAGATCTCGGAATCTCACAAAATGGATTCAGTTGGATTCCGGTCTAAAATTCTGCAAATGGGTTGGAATTTCAAAGATGGTTTCGATTTGAGTTGCAATTGAGGTACTGACCGTTCAAGGTGACTGAAGTTACCTGGAGTTAGAATGAGTCCGGACTGGCAGTAGCTTCATCCTGACTCCTCGAGAGATACTCTGTTTGGTGTGGGAGAAATTTTTCGGTATCTTCTCACGATCAGTTAGGGTACCTTGAACTGTCAACGCTTCAGCTCCAGCTCACATACAGCCACAGTTCGTCAGTTTTCCATTCTATTAACTGGAAAAGTGTCAGCGAAGCCTCTCACATGCCAAACAGCACGTTATTTATCCGAAGCAAGTCTTTGAACAAAGGCCAATATAAAACTACTGAGCAGTTGGGACTTATTTCATTTCAGACATCGCGAATTTTCAACACTTTTGCTTCAACTCGCGTATAGTCATAGTTCATAATTCGTGCACACCTTGTAGTCATATTTCTGCAGTTAATAGAGTTTCCATGGACGTTTTTTCGTATATCCACTCAACGGTGCGAGTTTTTTGGACACTATTATACTAGCCCTGATATTCTAATAAAATTCACCTTCATAATGCCTTAACTCGTTGAAACAGTCCTTACAAAAATAAAGAATACATTACTGGAATACGCTTCCGAAAAGCCGCGGTCTTTTCTTCATTATATAAATGTTTGCTTACAGACGTTTTGATTGATGTTGGACTGCTGAAAACTTTCGGGTTAATATCTTTTATAATTTCCGGTGAATTCCGAAAAATGTCTGTCGGATTACGGCTAAAAAAATTTAAAGTTGAATTTCGAAGTGAATTTCGAATTCCCACCGAGAACTTCTAAATTCAGTCGGATTACCGAACTTCGGAATCCTAAAGAGTCGATTCAATTGAGCTACGACCGAACCCAAATTCCCTTCGGCTACCTTCACTAATTCGGAAGCAAAGTATCGGCGCGAAGCTTCCATAGCTCGATCACGTCAGTACCACACATTAACTGCTTGGCTTGAAAGAATTTCAAAAAATACGTGAATATATGCTTGCAGCGATATTAGACATCCCAAAGTATGTGCCCATAGCGATCTGCCAGTTTCATGCTTATTATTGCATTTACACTCTGTCGCTCATACTCATTCACACTATCAAGATGATCCTTGTTCTTCAATTCTATCGATGTTAGATTACTCACTTCAGAACCTGGTTACAGAAAATAGGCGATAGAACTAAAAATGATGAAGATGAGAAGTTGTTGCCTAGCTAGTAACTAAGAAGGACAAAAGCAAGTATGTCAGTGCTCGTGGGTGGCCGAGTCACTGGATATTTCAGAAGAAATAAAAGGAAGATGCGGTTGATGCGTAGTTATTCATCCCTCAAGCAGAGTGCCGTGTGTTGAGAGAAACCAATGAGATCAATTCAAAGTGTCCAATGATGATTCGGTATCATAGCAACCGAATTGAATCATCACTCGATTTCATGATATCACTGAAGACGATTCTTACAAAGTGAAATACTTCAAGTGTGTCGTTTCATTCATCAGCATTCGATTTTTAACATTTTTGTGAATCTTTCCGCCACAACCATTCAATATGCAACACAAAGATATCGATCTGAATAGAACTGTTTCTGAAAGGATACAATATCGAAAGTTTTTAATTATTGATCGTTTGGTGAGTTCAACTTTTCATCTTTTAATTCAGTGATGTTCAAGTGAGTACGTTAGGAATTGCAGCGCACTGAAAAAGTTCTGTTGCCAGTATTTTCTTTATGACCGACTTAATGGGTAATATGAAATGTTCCTATTAATACTGTGTTTCGTAAAAATCTGATTTAATTGATCCTCATATGATTAAAAATTCTTTATAGCACCGGAATTCAAGCGAGCCTCTCAAACCCGACCACAACTCTTTTGGTTAGGATTGCGTAATAGTACAGATTTTGCTCAAAAAATGAATGAACTATAGAAATATCGCTCCGTCACCAATTTTCCAATCAGTCATACGCAGCGCAGCACATTACGACAAACATAACTGTAAATATAGAATAACTGAATTCATAATGCAAATGTAGCTACAGCTTCCGATATTAGTATAGGAGACTTGAAGTTTTATATGCGACATTTGCTTACGAATTCGTTTGCAACAATCATGTGGTTTTCTTGTACATGCCTGTTCACAATCAGATCCCGTTTCGGATTGATATAAGCGAGGCTTGTAATGTGGCCGGTAAGTGATGGAGAACGCGATGATGTGGTGTTGGATCAGGAGAGAATCTCTGTAGATCAGTTTGTAATGTTATTCGTAATATTTTTGATGCCAGTGATGTGTCGCAATGAAATTCAAGCAATAATGAGGAAAGAAAGTTCACAGAACCTATGAGATTACATTCCAATAATTTTTTTTTCATTTCATCAGCACTATACACTAACCATTCATAATCCATGATGTAGGGAAAAAGGACGATTCAACCTACGTTATACCTGAGATCGAAAGCATTCATTCATCACTCTTAAGCAGTACTATTCTCGAAGAAATTTGTGAGATAAGCTGCAACAAAATCCACCAAAAGTTGGATTATGAATGATTGGTGTCTAGTGTTGATGACATATAAAAAAATTATCGTAATCCTCATTCTTATCGCTGTTTATATTTCGGGAGAGGAATGAACATCTGATGTAGCTTTAGAATGAGTGTGGTAGTCCAATTTCTAAGGAACTGTTTGCTAAAGTCCACTTTCAAGCAACCTCAGGCGGTTCAATAATGCGGAAGTGATGCAACGGAATAAACGGTTAAATAAGATTTGGATAAGTAGAAATGAATCAGAGCTTTGAAGAAAATGAAAAAGATCTTCATCGGTAAACATAGAACATCGGAGTTGTAGTGGCACTGATGTTAACAAAATATTCCTCGATGGCATAGCAACAGTCGTATGCCATGAATGCATTTCGTAATTTCAAAAGTATTTCATTTCACGTGACTATACCGCGACAATTGCTAGTTTTGATGATCGTCTGAGTTATTTGAGCGAGAGAAAAATGTCGTCAGAAGTCAGCTATTGTTTCGACTTAAATGTCTTCATTGTGATGTAATTATGACTTGCTCATAGAGACTCGAGTGATCTCCGATGTTATAAAACTGCATGAATAGCGCAAGTGATGTGAAAAAGATTCTTTCCACTTTTCTGACTGAAGTTAAAAAAATGAACAATGTCGTCAGATCCCATCTTCACACCATTCACGAAATTATAAAGCATCAAATATCCCTACTAGTGGGCCTCCTATGTCTCCGATGTCAAGAACGAAATGTCTGTGAAATGAGCAGACGGAATGCAACCAAATTTTGATGCTCACTCCGGATTTGATGCTCAGTTATATTAATTATCTATGATCGAACGTCATTCATCTTTAGAAACAAAGTCAACCGGACGTTATGGAATCAATCGAAACGGCGTCTGAGACAGGAACGCAAATGAATTCACAATCTCCTGCTAAGTTCATTCTTTTTTGATTTGTCGCGAATAATGCAGCTTATTTTTTCCCGGTAAAAAAGTTTGAACGGTTTTCATTTATTAATTTGTAAAAAATGATTATACTCCATTCGATGATAAGCTATTTTATAAGCTGGGATTATGCTATAAAAGTGAAATTAACAGAGAGATGCGTGTCGTGATCGAGGATGAAAACGACGATAGTCCTCGTCCAATTGGCGACTCCACTATTCTTGATAAGCCATCATTGAGTCGTCAAACGAAAGCTCAATTGAGCGTTGATTGCAATCGTGAAGACGGTTGTCAGTCAAAACTTTCATTCATCATGAGAGAAAAATTGCATGTTTTCGCTGGTGATTTAAGACGTCGTACTTCTGAGGTTAGTACAGTCACTTCTTTTTTAAGGAACTGAATGTTTGAACAGAACGCTTTCTAAACGGTGTGCTGCGGCATCCTCGAAAGGATCAGAAGTTTTCTGTGAAGGCAGATTTTGCGAAGCTTGTTAAGTTCCATCGAAATGCTTATAATAAGCAAAAACTCAGTTGTCTTCAGATACATCCATGACTGAAATTACTATCTTCATCTAATAAGAAATCGCTTCTGTGGAGGGCGCCGTAAAAATATTTTCGTTGTGAAGTGTTTTTTAACGAGAAGTAAGATTGAAAAGATCCTGTTGACCCTGATAATGAAGGGAGTGTCGACTTATTAGATGCAATGATGAGCATGCTACTGAAAAAAATTTCCTTTCCTAGCGAGAACAGAAATGAACAAAATTTCATTGCACTGTTACGTAACTTATTCAAGATCATATATCTTAGTGGTGTTAGACGGAATGCTAGTGGTGCATTTATAGCAAGTATTTGAGGTATGATTGTATATTCAACTTCGACCAGTTAGGATGAGTACGAATACGGTAATTTCGAACTTAGCACTTGTCAGAGGTAGAGCGCAAACACCAATTTTAACCCTTATGCGGTGCTTGGATCAATTTGATCCATTGTCAGCATAACATTTGCCATTTGAAAAATATGCAGGTTGTTATTATATTAACCTCATATTTTATGGTTTTTGCAAAATGGAAGAACAGATGCGAAATCAGTTAGACATGTTACACAAGGTGATATAAACAAGCTCTGTCTTGAAACTTTGGCAGACATTTGAACCATATTTCGATAAATCGAATCGGCCTTCAGGTTCAGCTACCCGTAGTTATTTCACTGCGGCTTTTCGGCTTGAGATCTGCCAACAAAAGTAATTTCAAAAAAAGATGGCTGAAAAAGTGCTGTGCTTAGGTAAGAGATGAAATGGAACGTGAAGTTACGCCGGACCTAGCATCTTCATTGGGTGCTAGCACTGCACCAACTAATCAACATCGTCCGAGCCTAATGTCACTCATCGGACTGCAAGTATATTTTAAAGGAATTCTTATTTTAGTTCGATTTAAAAAGTTTAGGAGTTTGATACGTTCAATAGTGATTCACGTTGCAGTGAAACACTTCGTTATTAACTGAACTTTAATTGCAGCGACCAACAAGTGATCCTGCAGATGTAACAGAAACCAACTCTTGCCTTCCGTCATCAATCGATCCGCACAGTAGGCGATAAAATTGATAGTTGAAGCTGTCGTCTTGGACGAATACTTTATGATCCTCTGCCTGCATAACTTAATAGCGTTTTCCTTCTAACACTTGTTATTTACTCACTTGCGAATCATTGAGAGGTTTCAGTGATTTGTTGCAAATACACTTTTAAACATTAGAAGTATTTCATTATACGCTATGGGAACGATAGGTTGGATTCAAATTTTCCCAGTGCATAGCACATGAGGCAATGTGTTACGATGAAAGTACACTTTAATAAATGGACGAATATTCTTGCAACCAAAAATAACAGTATGGAATTATTGATATATTGGCGAACGATCTGAAAGTAGTTTAAAAAGATGATCCTGATCCCCTCGTGCATCTCTAAAAGATTGAATAATCATGACTCGTATGCAGTTTCTAGTCATTATTTAAACAATTAATGCGTTTAATTGTTATTAGCAAGCCTTATTTTTTGCCGATAAACAGAAGAGCTTCTAAGCTATCTGAAATTCAGATGTTGTTGATGGAAAATCATTCATTAATTCAAGAAAGCATTCACTCATGAATGAATCGATTGTTCTAGACATATTGTTATAATTCATAGATCATCGAGCGAAATTCCAAAAATCGGTTTCCATCAAAGTTTCATTCGTGCAATAATCTTGACAAGTTCAGACTGCAATATATCAAGGTTATTAGACGAACGAATGTTCTGATCTTGTAACAAAAATGCTCAGAATAGTGCTCGTCTTATGGTTCTTGTTTGTCCATCTATATAAGCATCGCTAATGCATTTTAAAATGATGTCATTGTTGCTCTATGCTTTCAGGTAGAAAATATCTGATATGGCTGAGTATTGTGGTTGTTGCATTCCTCTATAATGCCTTTTGTATTCCTCTCCGAAGTTCGTATCCATATCAAACCGAATCAAATTTGGTATTTTGGTTCACAGCTGATTACATTGCAGATGCCATTTATGTTCTGGATTTGTTCATTGTGAAGCCAAGATTACGGTTCATGAAAGGTGGTATTGCAGTGGTACGTTAATTTGAGATAGGCATTATTTATGTTTGGTTTTTATTGCGGTCATATTCATGTAAAAGCACTTCTCAAAGTTAATCATATGTTACAGTGTGCGATGAATTTTTAAAATATGAGATGATGCAAGCACAGCTGAATTTCAGAAGGATAAAAAGGAAATGAGCAGGCATTATCTAATGAGTGTTACCTTCAAACTTGATCTCTTAGCAATTGCACCTCTCGATTTATTATATATATGGACAGGACCGATTGCTGCATGGCGAATTGTTCGTTTGTGTAAGGTATTGAATGCACACAAGTGATATTCCTTGACCATTAATATCAATCAACTGAGAACAACCTAGGCAATATTAATGCAAATTTCAATTTATATACGTTCATGCTTGAATATGAGTTGGACACTGATAACTGCAACCACTGATAAACTTCAAATAATTAACTTTGAGGAATTATTCTCTTTTCAGCTGTTATCATTTTGGCAGCTTTTTAATTTGCTTGATAATTCATTCTCGAATCCATACATAATCAGGTAATGTAAATACCATTTACAACGTGTATTATTTATCATTATCTTAAGTGAGTTGTTTAGGTGCAAATTTTGTGGAATGAAAGGGTGTCCAAGAGAGTTTTCATGCAAAATTCTTTGTTGTTTTTATGACAGAAAAAACTGAACAAAAGTTGCTGAAAGCAGCACCGAATTTCGTATCATGTACACAGCAAATGAATGTTTCGCAAATACTTCAGGATAACAAAAACTCTCGGTTATATGATCTATATAATTCACTGTAACAGTTGTGTATATTATATGCTGAGTGCATGGCAAGCGTTCGGTCAAATCGCATACCGCTTAAACAATAAATGGTATCTCAATAAGTGGGTTTACAATAATCAAGGTTAATTGATTTGGTCAAATGATAACTTTCACATCATCATAATTGTTCACTGCAAAAAAAGCATTTCTTTCGCAAATTTCATTGCCATCTTATAATGGTATCGTTGTGCTTGGATTTATCATGTAAAATGTTTGGAAAAGACTATTAGCCTGTTAGATCAATGAATACATTTCGATGATTTTGACAGAAAATGATTGCAGGAGTAATTTTATCAGATTCACAAAAAAGTCAACGGCAATTTGCAATTCAAATACTTCAAGGGCATATAATAACTTCCTCGATTTGTAGTTTCTATAAGATTTTCACTCGAATAGCCAATTGTAGATTGCAGCATTCACAACTGTCGCTTGTTTATGGTATTATACATACAGAATAGAGATAAAACACTTAAACGATAGAAGACGAGTAGTTGGAGTGATTATGAACGGAGGGGGTGGTGACTGACACTGGCTCCAGATTCGAATGTTTTAGTTGATTCAGTATGAAACATCTTCCCAACATTCCTGGATGCAATCGCTGCACATATTCAAAACCGAGTCTCTAGTTGTAATAGTAGCAATAATGATTATGAACCCTTTGTTGGGCTAGCGTAAAAGTGTCGAAACTCAAAAGATCGAATGAAGTAAGCTGATCTTAGAATTAGCCTTAGATTAACAATTGGGCTTAGGCGGATACCTGAGGCCTGTACTTACGCTCAAGCTTCGAACATTTCTTCATCCAACAACACTGTTTCAATCCCTTTTTGACACTTTTCGGGGGACCCGTTTTGCATGTATTGATTTATTTCACTGTTGTTTCTCAGTGAATGTTACTATTCCTTTCCGACCCATTATTCCCTAGTTTATTACGTGCGCCTTCAGTCAGTTTGATATTCAAATATCTGATTAACAATTTGTTTATTGTTCAAAAAATGCACCCGAAGTATCCTGCGAAGACAAAATCCTGTGGCGCTGGAGTGTTATATCTCAGAACGGTGACACCAAAATCCCCATTCCATATAGTCTTGCTAAGAAAGTAAAAAATCTAGGATGAGAGTTTTGTAAGGTTATGAACGATCGAAGAAGTCAAATATTATTCAGGGTAGTGCGTTGCAGGAAAGAAAAAAGTCAGGGACGGGGACGTGGAATCGAGGACGAGAAATTCTGGGGAAAAAGCTCAATTTTATCCCCGTTCCCATCTCGATTTCCAAAAATGGAAATTTCGAACTGAAACCAGCCGTACCTTGAAAATAGGAATTTCTGAAGTATAAGCATTGAAATAAACAATCTTTAGGATAGCACTAAGATAACAGCGAAGCCACAATGCAGTTTGAACAACAATATTTTATTGAACCACGTGAAAAAAAATAAACAATGACAGTAAAAGCCAAACAACTTTTCGAAACGATGCACTTTACTGAATATGGCAGAATTTTAACGATCAAAAAATGCAAGGTAAAGACTATCAGAAATCAACATACCTCAAAAGTCCTACGTTACGAAATAACACGAATTGAATGAGTACAAACCGGTAACAACGACAAGCATTTCGTTAATAATTTGAAAACCCAATGCACTCCGATAAGCAGGATAGAATGACAACAATGNAAAAAAAAACGTATAATACAATCTTCGAAGGAAAAGATAAATATTTAAAAAGTCTTTTGCGATAATATGATGGGAACTGGGTAAAATTTAAGTTTTTGATGCTTTGATCCGATTTTATCAATTTTCGGGGAAAATTCGACGAATTTTCCGAAAATTTTCGGAGAACAGGGTTCCCCAGAATCCCGTAAAAGTCGAGTCGAAGCTTTGCAGTCGTGGACCTCGGAAATATAATCGGCTCGAAAAAACTCGGGAAGAGAAATTGAGGATGGAGTCTTCGAAATTCCCCGTTCCCTGCAACATACTAATTCTGAGTCATTTTTCTAACTAATGGCAGTTCAACTGATAATAGTTTGAGTGACCAGTCTGAGGTTATTCAATTGATTATGGTTTGGCCACATGGTGTTTTCGGAATGAGCTATTTTGTCCGTTTAAAAATACGATGATATATATCGCACTCTGTTGCTATGCACTTGCGATAAAGATGATTTGCTTTGTCGTTTTATCCTCATTATTATAAACCGCAAATTTCTTCACTTCGTCGATTGGTCATTTTATGATTGCTAAAGTGACAAAATCGATTGTAACGACAAAAAATGCTAATATTTTCATTTTGCTTACATTCAATGCCAGGTAATGCCTATATTCGTTGTTTTTATTTCACTGCTGCCGTAGCAACTTCAACTGGAAACAATCCCGCGCCAACAAATGTTATCGAATATGTTTATATGACATTTTCATGGATGATGGGAGTTTTTGTGTTCGCTCTTTTACTTGGTCAGGTATGGCTTGTAATCATGTACCTTCCTAAAAAGAATCACAACTAATAGCAATATCATAGAAAAATTTATTTCACAAGAAAAACTGGCAGCATGAAGACAAAGTGAATCATTGGAATAGCAATGAAAGTAATAGATATAGATAATAATTCAGATAAGAGATATCGTGTCGAATGCGAACAGGAATCGAGAGCAATACCGTCAAACGATGGATATGTGCCTAATTGAATGTAAAAGATTACAATTACCGAAAGAGATTATTGATCGTGTGCGTGACTGGTTCATTTACACATGGCATCGTCAAAAAACACTTGGTTTGTAGACTTACATATCTTCTCATATCCGAATCCTTTCTCAAAACAACGGTCAGTTTAAAACGATAGGTAATTCGCTCCTATACGCGCATCTCCATTGAAATGTTGTAGATTCATTTTTAAGCACGTGAAGAAATGAGTGTATAATGTTATAAAGCGCAGAAAAATCTTTATATACTATATCACATATTTCAGCTTTACATTAATATCAATTTTTAAAACTTGAGTTCAATTCTAGATGAGAAAAAATTAATCGAGAAGCTTCCTCTTAAACTGCAAACTGATCTTGCGTTATCGGTGCATTACAATACACTTAGTAAAGTGCAGCTATTCCAGGTTCGTTTTCACAGAACGTTTTTTGAAATATGTTAGTTAACGAATGTCGAATGTTGCATTTTATTTGATATTGAACCTATTTTTTGTTACATATTTTTTTGCGGAGCGTAAAGACAAGCCAGCCGAACAATTTTATCATGTTAAAAATGATCAGTACGCTATTGGTTGATTGGGAGGATTTTATTTTGGGTGATCCAGGGATTATTACACAATGTATTCAAATTGTCGAATATACCGTTCCGTTCTCAGTGATTTCTTGTTTTTTTGAATATTTTAATGGCATATTTTTGAAATTTTTATTGACAACTTTAGGACTGTGATAGAGCACTTCTTCGAGAACTTGTACTCAAATTAAGACCGGTTATTTTTCTGCCTGGAGATATGATCTGCAAAAAAGTTGGTGCTACATTTTCTTCATATAATAAAAATGTCTTCTTGAAGGCTGATGTGAGTAATGCCAATTGTGATGAAAGCGCCTTTCCCGAGGATGAATAAGGCTTTTCTAGAATTAAATTTAATCTTGTTTGAGGTTCGATTATAGTGTTTGAACTCGAGTTGACTGAAACTTGCCTAGGTATCGTTTAAGATTATAGCTGAAGCGTAAATAGGCCTAGTTCATAATTCGTATGAGCAGTGGCGCTTTCATTAACGATGTATTCATTCCAGCGCTGCATACGGTTTTCCCCAACGGCACTTTCCGTGGGACAGCGAAACTAATGCGAATGCAAAAGTAACGCAATTCTTTTTGCACATGGAAGTTTTGGTATAACCGCTCATATTATACGTTTTAGTTGGATATGCTTCTTGTTCCCAAAATCGCCATTGCTGACTCATAGTCTAAGCTAACAATATGTCTCAGTCAAAGCCTTATGGTTAGGTGACATCTAAGTTAGGTTCAATCGAATCTCAACCAGGAATTAAACTTAAGTCCGTGGAAGCCTTAGTTTTTGGGTGCGGCTGTTTCAATTGATATGCTGTTTTGGTTTACGTACAAACCATTCAAGTGTTCATAATTAGTCGCTCGTGACATCATTGAGCTCGCAGTTTGGAAGGAGGGATGTAATAATAAAATGATAGAGTAGCGAATAATCGCAATTGTACTGTACTCCATTCAACAGTCGTAGACATTGTTCTTACGAACCAGAAACGCTTTCATAAGTTTTTTAACTCATTGAGAAATCGTTATGAACAAACAGTCACAGACAATAAGCTAGATACCTGATCACGATTTAGTTCAGTGATAAATTGCAAATCCGTCTCGGCCTGCAAACTAGTCAGTAAGCGGCAACGTGCTGAATTCACCCGGATTTAAGAGCATTCACTGTTTCATTGTACCTCAGGTATTGCTATTGATATAACAGAAAACACAAGAAAATGTGAACTTAAAATAGTTTCCATTTAAGTGGCAACAGTATCAAATTTGTAAAATAAATCAAATTCAAATATGCTTGTTGGCAGCAATACGAGAAAGCTAAGAACACAAAGTGAATTTGACGTTGACAATGGTATTCTGAAAGTTTGTAGTGTGATAAACCACTGTATTCAGTATCGATGGTTCCATCCTTGTTCCAGGGTGATGTTGGCAAAGAAATGTATATTGTCAATGATGGTATTCTCCAAGTCGTTGGCGGTGAACAAAACGAAAAAGTCTTTGCCGAACTTACTGAGGGATCTGTATTCGGTGAGATAAGGTGTGCTAATAACATCCTTCATCTTAACGATGCTCGTCATCTTAATTCATATCATTTACTGAATAGAAGCAATATTTTGCAGTCTATTGGCAATAGGCGGTAACAATCGGAGAACAGCAAATATTCGTTCGAAAGGTTATGCCACCTTATTTGTACTATCGAAAGAGGATCTGAATGATGTCATTAAAGACTATCCTGAAGCTCAACAATTGCTGAGACAGAAAGCAAGGTACAACGCCTGAGTATGGGCCAACCAGTGTCTCCAAAATTATTCTTTAAACATTACTTGACGGATAATGAAATTCAGTATTTTATTTCTCTTGTTGCAATCTCTCAAGGTCATTTAATTGAGGCAAAATGGAACCTATTCGCAAACGATGAAGTTATTATGGAAGTTGAATGATTTAAGGCTTCAATTTGAAAGTATTTCATTATTATATTATTAGGATATACAACAATGATTAAAATTATACTTTTAGACAAATGTTAAGTAACGATGCAAAAGTAAAGCAGGAAAATGAGAAGGGTGAACAGAAAACAATGGAGGAAAGATGTCGAATTTCGACGCATATCTCCACTCCAAGAATACTAGATACGGTTGTCAAAGTGCTTCCTGAAAAATCTCTTACTGGTCGCCAACTTCGTTCTGCTATCGGTGCCGTTTATTATTTCGATTGCACTCATATCGTTTGCGTTCATCTGTTGCCCACAAAAAGATTAACCTCAAGTCTTGCCGTTTAAAAAAAAAGTTGTTTTTGGGTGATACATGGTGAAATAATTTACAAATGACACTTTCTGCAAGTAAGACATCATGAAATGAGAAAATTTGACATTCCATTTTAAGGTATTAGATAACGTTAGCTAGTTGAACAACTAAAAATGCAACTTTTGACTAAAAACATTCGCTTTCACTGTTTGTAACATTTACATCGTTTCTCAACTGCTCAGTGATAATCGATGTTCATCTTTAGATTATGCATGCATCTGTTGTTTTCGGTGCTCAGTACAGAACCAATTTTCAAATTTCAGAAACTCGATGTCCCACACGAATGCAGCGAATTGGAACTTTACCTGAAGGTTTCTCTGATGATGAATCAGATGCTGAAGTGGCGAAAATTTTTGAAAATGATAAAAAATTTAGGGAACAGAAATCATTTTCATAATTCAGGTACACAACCGTAAATAAATTCAAAACATTGATAATCTTTTGAAATAGATGCGTTCGAATAAACGATATGAAGCGATCGAATATGAATTAATCGCAGAATGTAATCGTAAAAGTGAACTGATTGAGTGTGCATGGGTGCGATTAGATCAGTATCGCTCGACTTTATCGCTCCTTTCAAACCGTTTTCAAAATTTCATAAATTTTTCAGGAATGTCTTCAAAACGTCTTCTACCCTTTATTGCCACCATAACAACTGTCAAGCACAGAACCATCTTAAACCAGTCGTTTCATGGGATTGCTGGTCACAAATAGTCTGCGGAACTTTTCCGAAGCAATTTCTGTTAGAAGGTAGTTGTGAAGGACGGCTTTTTCGCGTGTACTTATCCGATTGGTTTGGTTCTAGGCCTCATATCAAGGCCATAATCGAGACTTCCGATTACCGGTGTACTGTTTTCATGAATACCATTTGTTTGATTTCTGGTCTTATTTGTATGGAAATGTAGCATTATTAAAGTCATTCATGAATATTACAACTCCTGGCTTTTAAACAGTTGAGTAGGTTTTAAAAATTTATGGTTAATGGTGTAGTAATAGGATGTTATGCCATGGTAATTGTGAATTTAACCACGAGGAGATGCCGTAATTGGGAATTATCAATGCGAAAATGAACTGAGTAGAAATGGCATATGGATAAAGTAATGCTGAATGATGAGAGATGCTTGAGGAGGCATCATCGTGATGTTGATGGGACGAGGCAAAGCACTCGTAATCAATTTACCGATACATGTTTATGAGCAGAAAGCAGCAAGAAGAGAGGGAATAGAAATAAAACGACAGAAACGATGAAAACATGCATAAAAAGATAAATGCAAATTATAAGAGATGAACAACAGTCGATTGCAATTGTGAGCAAATGCATTGATATATCGAAGACGAGATGATATGGTGCATTAACTGACTGCGCCAGCAGTGCTTGTTCATTCGTCCCTTCTTTCGAAACACACCAAACGATTCCGTAAAATTCACTGTTTATATTATGGAAATGCATATATGTATCGTTTATTTGCATTCTGTAAAAAGTGGATTGTTATTTAATGTGTTCCAGTCACCATTAATCTGGAAAACATATCTTCATCCTCATCTTTCTATCATTGTTTTCCCATTATGTAACGTTATTCGAGTTTTCGTTCTATTTCATTTCTTAAGAAGTCAATAATTTTGTCTTCGTATCAATGAGTTCGCTACTGGTTGAGTCCGTTCGTTGAAATTTTAGCGCAGATATTATATTATAATGTACTTTTATTAAGCAGTCATAAGTACTTATTTGACTGAATGATTGATTTGGATCGGTTGACTGGAATATGTATATATCATTCTGCAAATTCAGTGAACTAACCCATCAATTTTGGTCTCTATCACAGAATTATATTCAGTGTTATTACTAACTGTTAACAATCAATATTATTCGTGGACTCAGAGATACCCATCGTTGAAATCATTTATACTCTCATTTTTCGTTTCTTCAATTCATTATTCACTACAAACTCATTTTCTGTATCGTTTCTTCTTTCTTCCAATATACTTGCTTTCCTTGCACACAGTTTTGTACATCAATCAAATTGAACAACGTTTCTTACATTTCTGCACTTTTCGTTAATTTATTTTACAGTTAATTTTTCATTTCACATTTTATTAATTCAATTGCAAATAATTGTAATAATTGTAATTGCAAATTCAAATAATAATTGTCAGTAATTTTGCTTTCTGTTATTTTTCAAATTACATATTTTGAATATTCGCGTAACTTTCAAATGAACTTTTCATCGCGTTACTCAACTGTATGAGAAGCACTGAATATGAATTTTAATTTCAATTCCATTCATGAAAAAATTATGTTTTCGTATTATGTTATCCTATCGTTACTCGAAAATTTCGTTTACTGAGCAACATTATTAAATGATCGGTGTGTTTTAACATTTACTGGAAGCTTTCCTCATTTATGTGGCGGGGATGGNTGTGGCGGGTATGGATGAACCAAAACAGTAAAGTAGTATTGTTGACAAATTGCCCGCGTAATTAAAGATATGACGATGTGTTTCGGCGTTACACCATCTTCAGGAATATCTTTTTGAACTGCTGAACATTCGGTGGGGGGACCCTAAAGTCATTGCCTATGTCAAAGTCATTACTGTTGTCACCTTATGGTTTATCTCTCCACTTGGTTCATTTGTAATCCCTACCTTACTTTCCATAATTCCTTCCCCTGAATCCATCCAATCACTGTTCATCATGGGCTTCAGTGATTTAAAAAGATGTTCCTGAAGATGGCGTAACGCCGAAACGTTGCATATCATCGTAATTATTTTTAATTGAGCAGGTAATAATTTGACAACACCGGTGTGTTTAAGTTGAACTGAAGTATCATTTATATTTATTTACCACTGAAAGTATTCTGGAACAACGACCTTACGAATCCCGATTCACTTCATCATTTCATGACAGGTTCCAGTTATCGTTTTCGGAAATTTCACAGAAATGATCTCGAAGACTTAAACGTATCTCAATTTCAGCCAAAAATTTGCTGTCAAGGTAGGCAAGGCAACTAATGCTTACGCTGAACAAAATAGAGCACTGCAACTTTTTTAAGCGACATATTGAATGAAGTTCCACCTCTTAACCTGATTGTTTGGCATATAATGAGAAACTACATAGCAGTTCTGCGTAATCCATATCTTCTTTCAGCCTTACTAAATTTTTTACGCAAAATATTGGCATAACCGATATTTGCACGCATATTGCCTCACAATCAGCGTCGCTTCAATGTAAAACTGAATATGCCTGCTCAGACTAGTGAGTTACACCACGTACCTGGTTTCTAAACACAATACTTAATAAGCAGCTCATTTCCCGCATTCGTTATGTTTGTGCTGTTGTATAAAATGAACTGCACTGACCAAATTATTCAACTGTATTTCATCTACCTTATCAGTGTAGCAACTTAGAGATGTGCAGGACGAGACTCAGGTACTATCAAAAATCCTGTCATCCAATCACAAACTCTGTGAATTGGAATAGGAAAATAATTGGATTATTGGCAGGCAATCAACGATATTTTTTAGAATGCAAGCAAGCATCGTTCAGGCGTAATATATGAATGAATGATGTATGTAACTTGATGATTTCATTTATGCTGCGCAGGTACATTCAGTTGTTGTTGAAGTATGGTTGAAAGGGAATGAGGTTGCATTTTTCATTGTATATTGGTAATAATCGTTTCAAGAAAATATTTTCTTATATATTTCATAAGTCTATTGTAAATTATGCTAATGAAGTGTTGCAAACGGCATAAAGCCATAGAGTTAGTGAAGTATATTTCAAATCAGAGTGCTGTGCAGGTCATTCCCAACAATGAAATAATGCAAAAATATCGAAATGTTTTGGTGTGCTCGTCTTATACAAAAGCACGCAAACGACGTAAAGATTCCTCCTTAAGCAAATTACTGCTAATGAACTGTACTTGTTTTTTGTTCTCATTTTTGATTATAATGGCAATATTTCGTGTCCTTAAGCTAATTTTTCCGTTAGTTCAATGGTTTGAATGTTCGAGTTGATCATTGAGTTTGAAATAAATTTATGTGGTGATTGCTTATTAATCAGAAACTGATAATAAGTGCAGTTTTGACGCCATCAAAGGGCCTGCAGCGTTTCTTAAAAAACGTATTCTTCAGAAGTAATCAGTGCAATTTGTGAATCTTTCGAACAGTCAACAACATCAAAATCGCTATTGATAACCGTGACATTGCTTAGTCTTTTGGCGAACAACATTCTGCGATTGTCTATCTCCACATAACGATTCATGCACTGTGTTTATAATGCAAAATTGGTTGATGCATGCTTTCAAGTATCGTCGATGTATAATACATAAGTGAACTGTCTAGATTTATAGATTCGTTCTTTGCAATAAAAGGAGCAATCAGGTAGTATTCGCAAGAGAATAAAGCGTGAAATAAATGAGTTCGCTGTAATATTTTCTCCACAATGATTTAATTCGGAATATTTTGTCATTATTCTTATTATGGCTAACATTAGTACCAGTACTCTTCACGAAGCTGACGAGGCTCATTATGATGTACCGTGGGAGTTTATACACCGCACCAAATCGTCACCCAATCAGTCAGTTTATCAGTTCATCTAATTTTTTTGCCTTCTAGCGTATACTCTCGTTACAATTTTCACTATCACTATCAGTTTTTGTTTTTGATACTCTTGACAACCCTATTTCAATCTATCATTTACTATATCATTATGTGAATAATTCCGAGGTGCAACTTCCATTCTTTTTTGAAGAAATGATCGTCCACATTCTGAATGCACTGAGTCGTTGTCTGTGAATCGAATCGATGCCAGCTTACTCAAGTCACCAAAGTATTGTGTTCGAGCAAGTGATTATTCACAAAGATATTCAGCACGTGAAAAACCTGATAAGTTCTCTGCTTCTCCAAGTTTGAAGAATCACAAGGTATGTTACTCTATATTTTCTGTTTTTTTCTTTATGAATTGAACGCTTTCAAGTGCTTTCAAATATTACCATGTCGGTACGCGAGCACGCTCGCGTATTACAATCAAGGCCACACCTACTGCGCTTGGCCACGGTTTCAGCCTAAGCGTAACCTCAGCCTCATCTAAGCGTAGTCTCAACCTTTACGAACGCCTAGCGATCGCTCGATGTTGCAACGGGGCTAGCAAGCCAGCCCAGGCTTAGGCTTAGGCTTAGGCCATGCGCAGTAAACGTGGAGTCGTACGCGAGCGCGCTCGTGTGCGACCCCCCAAAGTAAACAACTGCCACTATGCCTGCCAAATTCACCTGATGTCTGAAATAGATTGCAATTGGTCATCGATTCAGAAAGTGAAAAGTAAATCCACCAACGAGAAACATTCCGCATTTCAGATGTATTCGCTTTTTGCATTGTAATAACGCAGTGTCGCATTCTTGTCAACTGAATTTTACAAATAATAAATGAGAATACTGAAAGGTTTTTCAGTTCCATCGAGTTTCATCAAGTTCACCCATTGAAAAACTAAGTGCTCAGCCGTCAAATGTTGACAATGGGAGGAATGGACTCAAGCAAAATCTTGATGAGCTTCGAAGTTCGATTCCTGATCGTTTGCATGCCACAATCTTTTTTATAGCAACAAATATTGGATGTTCTAAATATATGTCCGGCATTACCTTGCGTTACGCATCTATTTCAGTTTTACTTAGTATCATCTCAAAAACAGCTCATATTGTGGCAAATCTCGATTCACATACTCATCTATTCATGCACGTTTTGTTCCACTTGAGAAAATTATGATTCCATCTCATTTTGTATTTTATTCCGAAGGAAACATCCATCTACGAATGCATCTCACAATCAGTTCGTATTGATGGTGAATAGAAAGTTTTAAAACTTCTTAAACCTGTATGAATTTTCATTGCTGATTCGATGTTGAGAATGATACGAATGAAACCATTAGAATATATAATATTGCTTTGAGGATATATAATATTTGAATAATTCTTCAGAATTTGTTTGACATGTTTCCAGTTCGCTTCCAAAAGGAATCTTTTCGAATTTTCTTGGTACTTTCAGAGCGTCTAAATGAAACGGGTATTGTAAAACGGGAGCGTTATCATGAAGAAGAGTTGGTTCATCGTGGAGTGGATCGATTAGAAGCTGAACGACGACTTTTAAATTGTCGTTTAGGATCGTTTTTAGTTCGAGTGCGTGACAATGGTAACCTTGCTCTGTCAATTCGAGCTAACAAAGGCATTTTACACATCAAACTCGAGGTTTTTTCTTTCATTGTTTCTTTCACATAATAGAATGTTTATCTGATGATCATTATCTTATAATTGGTAACTGCATACAAGCTACCTAATATCTGGTGACTGTTCATGCATTTCACACCTTTTCTGATACCATTTTAACCTTGAGTAAAGGCATGAACTGATTTGTAGTCGCACTCTTCGTGTACATGAGTGGTCCTCATAAGGGGTGGCGAGGGGGGATAATTCAAGGGTGTTGATGGAATTGAGGACGTTAGCAATTCATTATTGACGGATTTTTTTTTGCGTAACTCTTCCATAGTTTTTTTGTCTAGTGATATTTTCAAAATGCTTATTCGATTGTAGTGAATTAACCTCATTGATAGAATCAACAAACGTTGGCGATAAGCTTATTCATTGTTGGATTAATTTCTTGATTAGTTGCTAAGAGGTAATATATTATGGGAAGAGGAGGGGATTGCGATTTTCGGAGAGGAATTGACAGTCTGCTGTACAACCGAAGGGGGGTGCGGAGAGCAAGAACGTAAGAACCACCACTGTTCACCCTACGTCTGAAACAATGACAGGATTTTTCCGAACGGGCTGTTAGCTTTGAAATATGGTTCAGATTTGGCCAGAATCAGCATAGTTTAAGGAGTCTAAAAGGATACATAATTTTAAGATTTCTTCAATTCTTGCTTATATTTTCGGAAAAAAAATCGAAAAAAATGTCACCGTTCTTGAGCGATTATGCCAACAGCTGCCCATCTCCTTTGAACTGCAGGGGATTTTTAAAATACATTTTCGCCACTCTCCTGCGTAAAAGAAAATGAGAGGAGGGAAGCAATGAAAGTTCAGATGCAATGAAGTGGTCAGATTCGACTGCGAAAGCGCTTCCATTTATTCAGTGTTCAATAGTTCATAGGATGAGTTCAGTTTGGTTGTTAAATTTAAATTTTTGACTTCGTCAAAAATTTGATATCCCTACAATGCAGTTTGGTTTGGTTGGCGACCCAATTATTTTTTGGCAATTTAGGGTTCGGGGATCATCGCGTGATTAATAAATAAATGAATGTGCTCAAGAGTTTGTCAGTGACCAACAATTTCAGTTGCGCGACGACAGATGGGTGTTGGGAGAGGGGCCTTCGTTCGGGTCGGTGTCAACAGTAGTCAGTTTTTATCGTAGCCACGAGTTGCCAATTCGTGGTGCCGAACGTATGCTGCTCAGTTCGCCGTTGCTTGTGTCATCCTCATCCTCATCACAGTCCTCGTTGTCATCGGTCAATTCACGTTCATTTGTGTAATAAAATAAAATATTTATTTTGAAGCGATCCGACGTGACAACAACCAGAATGCACACAATTCTGTTAAGCGAAATTGCGCTCACACATGATCAACAAACATAACTCTAATTCAACACACGACTGGCTGTTTGGCTTCATTTCTGGACGGCTTTCAGCCAGTTTAAGTTTTCGCTTGCTCGCATTTGTCTTCACTGATGTAGTTCTGCCATAAAGCCAATCGCTTTTCCCGCTGTTCTTCCGTTTCCTCACTGAAAACAGTGGTTTTTAATAAAAGAAGCTATTCGAATGTTAAGAAATGTCAACCATCTACGTTCGGTGATGAATAATGTATTTATTGGTGAAAAAGGCCGACTGATTACGCTCGAAATCAATTTCAGGAGAAAAATTTTTTTCCCCAAAGTTGATCTCATGGAGAAGGAAGAAACATGTTTTCAATAGAGCATAAAATGAAATGCATGAATGTTTGGTTGGCGACCAAACATTCATGCATTTAGTACAGTGGAAATGATGTTCATTCGTACTTTGTCCCATTACATGAAATTTCATTTGAGCATTTGCGTTTGCGGTAATAAATGCTTCAAATTGCGTCGAGGACACAAAACATCGGTTATAAATTACATACACAGTGAATTTTGTTTTTCCATCCCATAATGACACATCAATTTTACGATTACCAACAACACGTCCATTTAGTGAGCGCACAGCCAAGTCCGACTGCTCAACGTTTCCAAATGTTACGCAGATAACACCCTCTGGATTGTTCTTGAAAATACAATAGGAATACATTCAGGATGGTCCATTGCTAGATTTTGTGCTCAAGTATGTTTGAAATGAAAATCAAACCAGCATCTCTTCCGCTAAGTCATGTAGGTTAAAATTTTGACGGCCAGAAAATGCCGTAAACTTCCAGTGTCTTTGATAACAAAAAGTGCTCGTGTTGATTATTTTCCGAGACGCATTACCAAAATCTTGTAATCACAATATATTTATAAATAAATAAACTTACATCATGCACTACAACCTTTTTCACGACTCCGAAACGTTCGCATGCCTTTCTCATTTGTTCTTTGAGATCAAGTAAGAGTGTTGCATTTGCCTACAAATCAACATTATCAGTTTAGTAATATTTCTTGAATACTGTAATTGCTTAAACAAGTGCTTTGTGCGACCGGCACGATGGTTATTTTTACTTATGACTTAATATTGATTTCGGAAGATTACTGGTTCACTACTATCGGTTGTTTTGAACAGTTACTTCCACCAACTACTGGATGTTTATTTTTCCGATCAATCGGAGTGTACTTTTTATGGGCTTATTTTGAGGCTCTTTCCATAAAAAGTGTTCGGCAAAACAGGACCACTATATCTCCAAATCAATGTTGGGGATCAAATTTTCATGGAGACGGACCACTGTTGATCGCAGGGATGTATAAACTCGCAATGAGTTAAAACTGGTGATTATATAAATAAATAAATAAATAAACGAAAATCACTTTACACTACGTATTTCAAAAGTCAACATTTTAAAGGAAAAGAATTAATAGAAACAGAAGTATACTGCGAGGTGCAAAAAATACCATCATTTGCTCCAAAGAAAACATATTCTTCATCACAATAGTACAGTCGCTGATCGGGCGATAGTTGCGTGGCTTCTCCGGTTTCCATTGAAATATTCTGAATCATATGACAAAATTGACTGTTTGCTCACAATGTTATGATAACAACGAGTGAATCAAGAAAACAATTGAATCATTAGTCTCTGTAACTTAAGCACTAACACTAAACGATCCAGGTATGATTAAATGACAACCATATAGACTTTTCCCTTCACTTACTCCCAATTCTTAATCATGTTTACCTCCATCTTCCTTAATGGAACTCTTCTCACTTTTGGCTCGGAATTGATTTGAATTCTTTCCACTAATATTGATCCCTCATGTTGAATTTTCGTTAAGTTCATTTTCAAACCGATCTTCTATATTTCTTGTCTAATTCTTACAACATCTCTTGGATTTCATTACTAGAGCGTACGAACGATCAACAGAAGTGATTTGAAATCAAGAATCTTTCGATCCCATCAATTTTCACATTCATGTAATCCTCAATTTTGTTTAGGTCCACATTCAGCTAAGCCCGATTTTAACACTGCATATTTTTCTCTTAAACTAAAGATTATCAAAGAAGTTAAAGCGTAAACTGAAAGTAATAAATATTGACAGTCAAAAGTTGTGACGGAACATTTCGATAATTTTCAGTTAGCATATGGAGTTGATTCATGATATGTACGATTGCAATAAGATTTTTGAAAGAGTAAATGAAGAACCTCTGCTGATTTTCGATGAAACGTTTCTTCTGTGCAGCGGTCAATTTTCGTCGCTTTTTTGATGGGTCAAATTCACCTTTCATTTCAAATTTTGCTTTTTCAACGTGAATAACATTTCCATCAAAATTCCAACCGTCAAGGATTTGTAAAGCCAAATCAACAGATTCCATCTGAATACCTTCATTTTTTCGAAATTACATTTTCCCACTACAAAAAATTTTCAGCCGATACTTTATAGACCCAAGTGTAGGAGGCTGAGCGATTCTTGTTGCTAATTCACCGCGATAAACTAAGATTACCACTGAAAGGATTTGTAGTGCTCACCCGATCAGATTTGAAAAATCAATGCTTGGAATAATAAATATAAATAAGAGCAGTCTAACCTTAATATATCCGCAACGGGCATCACCTTTTGGTTGCCCCTCTTCATCTCTATAGATTTTCACTTTCAGCTTATTTGTTCTTGCATCACGTTGAATAACACCACATTTGCTCATTAATTCCTAAATGATCATTTACTATGATATAAAATTGCTTTGAAAATGAAAGTTTTACAATCTGCTATTAGTTGAAAATAAAAACCATACTACAGAATGAGAAACTGACAATGAATGCATCTTCAGTGACAGTCTTCGGTAAATTTGTAATATAAACAGTTGCATTCTTCGTTTCATCAAGCTCGACCCATCCCTCTTCTTTTGATCGATCATGAATCTTTGGCTTCTTTGAGCTGCTGGCTTTGGAACTGATCTCTGATTCAGATTCACTAGTTCTTGTGCTTGTCCCTTCAGTATTAGCACTGAAGTTGTAGTTGATTCCATAGTTAGCATGGTAGTTCGCCAGGAAATCCTCGTTTACCTAAACATTTGATCGATGCATTGTATGTGGAACTGAAGTTTTAGTATCAACAACTCCGTATATTAAGAATTACTACCATAGTCTACAAATGATCACGAGGCTTGGCCTTATAACAGGTTTACTCACACGTTCAAGGATGATATTGGAATTTAAAAAATCATAACTGGAATTAACAGAACTGCTCACTGAGTGACTAAATCATTCAGAGATATGAATTTTACGGAAACCATAATAAAAAAACCTCAACAGCTGGTAGCCACTGCTGGCTATGTTCGTTCCATTCCATTTTAACACCATCAACAACACATTCGTACGGATTTTGAGTGGATGACGCGACTGCGTTAGACCATTTCTCATTCAGATTATCACCGATTGCCGCAACCCACTTGTCATCCTCATAAATCAAAAAACCATCACTACCATTTTTACACATCCATTTACCATCAATGAAGCGACGTTCTCGATCTGTAACAAATAATTTTGATTTTTTGAAAACTTTCTTTTGACTTTCTGGTCTGTCATATTATATTAAATCATATAATCAGGTGGTCGCTTCAAAAAATTAATAGCACCTTCTAGTATGAGTTGCATCGTGGGGTTGTATTTATATTCATGTTCACTGAATTGCTTTGCTAAGGACGATTATCTTTCACACAGATATTAATTTACTTTCGTTATCATTGACATTCGGACGTATCAGTGATTACAAACATACAAATGTAGGGGATTTTAGAAATATGCAGTATAAATTGAGTAATGTTCCGCATTCTTAACATTCCCCACTTGTGATCTGTGCTGATGACGCCGTCAAATGCCGAAACGTTGTTTGAGTGCTGGTTGTCACATTGAAACTAATTTATTTTTTGCATTATTCAACAATTCGTTGAACACCATTCTATTCATCTTCTATGAGAATCCACTCTTTCAGACACAGCTCTAACATTCTTTCAGCAAATTTTCTTGTTTCTGATCTTATCATGTACCAAAAATCATACCTATGCACCTCAGACTGCTAAATGTTGGTCGCAGAGCTGCCGTTCGCTCACTAACACTGGGTCAGCGGATGGATGTTTGCTGGTGCCGTGGGTCTTCTTGAACTCAGCATTTTATTAACGCTCATATCTCACTCTGCATAATGAATAGAGTGCATGTGAAAGAATGAAAAATAACAACATAAGTATGCAACCCCACAATTGACATTCTAATAGTTCTTTCCGGAGCGAAATCAACATCAAGCATTACCTGATGAGCTAGCAACGCCAAGCGTACTGCTATCTTCATTGCCAACATCAGATTCTATTCTTCTTTTCTCCTCCATTTTTTCACTTTGCACGTTTGAAACAGTTGATCTTTCATCCATTCTAAAAATACAACATCATCATTGGACACTTTAAAAAACAAAAACCGATACCACGTAGGACCATGTTGGGAGTTCAACAATTAGAGAGCTAACTGGAGGGAAATTGCATTAGCGCCAAAATAACGTTTTGCAAAAACGTCCAGTTGGCTTTACAGTTAAGCTTAGGCTCCGTTCTATGTTTGAGCTTATGCTTGGACTTGTTACATATAAACAAGCCTAACGTGTTTTGTTAAAAAAATACCAGTCCCGAATGAGTTCACATACCACCGCACCAGCACAGGCCGAAGCCGCTTACTTGTTAACAGCAAGATTACCCTTATATCGAGCTTCTAAGTGTCTCATCCAACAGTGCTGAAAATAGCTCGATCTGTGCAGTTTTGGTTCGGACACGCGAAGGCTAATAGAAACGATTCGGATCTTGTACTCTTTGGTGAGGCGCATGAGAGCCGATTTAAAAAAGACCAGAGCCAATCATGTGCATTGGTTTTGGTGAAATTGTAGCAATTAAACGAATTTGGTTTTTTCTACATCAACAACTGCGCTTCTCATCCATACTTTGTAGTAGTTTACTGGCTAAATTCTCCTACAGCAAGCAGGGCGGTACGAACCCAAAACTGAGTACAACTAGCAAATTGCACATTTTACAACTTGTCAAGCAGAACCAATTTTTTAAACTATGAAGAAGAATAACATTTCGAAGAGCCAATATGCCAAATCAATTCGTGAGAAAGAGAACGGCTGAATGGGTGGAGCGAATTGTGTTGGAGAATGTTTTTCTGTCATGCGAAGAGAGTAAATGATTTGTTATTCACTGCAGCAAGAAATCAGTTTTTTCATTATCAGCCAAAAAGAGCGATATTCAAATTCAAGATGCAACTGTATAATTCGAATTTGAAAGTAATGCATTTCCATGAGTTGATATTGCCTTGTTTTCGTCAGCTGACAATAGGCTCAAGCCTTATTGTTTCAAAATTTTGATGATAATCTGGAAGGATATTAATTTATTTAATCAGCAATTACAGCTCATTACGATTCTGTTATCACCAATATCACTAATATTACATTCTACTTGTCTCATATGGAAGGGTAATGGTAGGGAAAGGCAAAATTAAACCGTTGATCGTTGGTTTAGCCAACTCGCGACAAAAATTATGAATCACATAGCCTATTCACATTGAATGCTTGCTGGTTGGCTTGCATTATTTGAAATGTGTATACGTGTATGCGTATATGCTAGTTATAGATAAACATCAGCAGACAATCATCAAACGCCATAAATATATCGAGTTTGGATGAGTTCAAGTTGTGAAGAGATACAAAAAGAGCATGAATCAGTGATATAAGATTGAATGAAATAAATGTATACCTGTGAAAGGTGATATTTTATTATGAGGACACATGCACATACATACTATTTGACTGCTATGTAGACATAACCGAGACAGAAACGTTGTACATCATGAGGAGAAGTGCCGTTATTTTGTTATTGTTCTGTGTTTCCTATATTGTGAGCACCTAATCACTGTATGCGTACATCCAAGTATTGTTTAAAAAGTAGTGCGCAATTGCCGTTTGTCCTTAGTTTTGTGGAAGTGACAATGTGACATCACAGATTAGTGTGAGTAAACCACCACCATAGCGCAACTTCATGAATTAATTTCCAATGAACGATTTTTTTCGTGAGAATTAAAAGGTTCTCATTTGTATTTTATTGTTTATTCATTTACCCACTGAATCGAAGTATAGATATCAAAAATTCATCGTTGAATTAACGGTTAAAAGTAACTTACAACATATTTATTTAGCAGGTTGGGAACACGAATAGAACTTTGCGGTATTTAAATGTTAAGGCATTTACAACGTCTTCGTTTGCACGCTTTCTTAGACAATGTATAATTTTCCAGACAATTCCAAATATTAATCCTCCTCAAACTCGTCGAGAACTTTTCGGTGTTAAAATATTTGAAATGCTTCATGCTAGGATCCTTCAATGTATGTATATGCCTGCTTATTTTAGTGCTAAAATTTGCATTTTTTAGATCCTTTGATTTATCATTATATATGTTAGAGGATCTGAAAAAATTGAATCGGAGGACCTAAAACTTGTATGCACATATTGAACTGATAAGCTAATCTGTCATTGTCCTTCATGAAGTGAGTGCATAAATTAGTATTTATGTTTGATTAATGTTTCAGTCGTGCAGTTAAAAATTTTTTTGGAGCAATAATGTATAAGATCAATAAAAAATCTTTTTGAAGGGCTCACAGCAGTGTGACAAATCATTCGCTAATCAATAAACGAACAACATCGATGCTCCGTATTTGATTCAAATAAGAGTTTTGATTGAAGAAGTCGATTGAAAATGGTTAACATGGCTACACCAGATACTCTCGATGCTTACTGTATTGCCTTACTTGCTGGTGCTCCCATCGCTCATTTACTTAGTAATTCATTAATGTCATGGCCATTCATCTTTCTATTATTCACTTTACCCGCATTCACATTGCTTATTAATCTTGGTCATATTTCTGGTGCTGGACCTGTATTAACATTCAGTAGAATTGCGCCAATTTCATCCGGTAATAATTTTTTGTTATCGTTATAATATCAGTATTATTGTTGTTAAAATAACAGTGTTATTATAATTTTAGCAACATTATTATGATTATTGTTTTTAGTACCATTACCGTATGGTGCTTCAAGTTTCATTTGTTGTGAAGGTAATGTGTAACTGTGCGTTATTACATATACTGTTATTATTATAAGTTAGAAGATCTGAAAAAATTGAATCGGAGGACCTAAGATTTGTCTGCACATATATTGAACTGATAAGCTAATTTGTCATCGTCTCTCATGAAGTGAGTGTATAAATTTGTCATTGTTCTCAGACAGATTAGAATGGATAATTCGTTGCCAGAATTTATAATATTATCTCATCTTCTCAAGCTATATTAGATTTGTGTTGCCATGGAGATAGATGTATTACATCATGGATACATTCATTATGCGTCATATTTCTCCCAAAATAATCCTTCTTCTCTAAAACAAAAGGTTGGGAAATCTATATCTCTGTTAAAAAGTCTTCCATTCCTTAAATAAGTCCCTCGCAAAAAAAATCACTCTTTTACAAGCAGTTTTAACAAATCGACCTGCACAATGACGGATGATCATCGCATTACAGTCGTGTTAAATATAGGTATTAAATATACTTATGAGATTTTTCGAATCCATAAAGATCGCATAGCCCAGAAAACTGAGACATTCTCGTTCTCAATGTCTATGCATTTATGATAGTCATCAAAACTGATAGATTTTTGGACCCTACGTTTGCTGTCTGCGCCCACCCAAACTGAGTCAAGCATCCTCATTAAACGCCTCTTTGGACACCCAAATCGAGACTCCCTTTCTTCAGTACTATTTTAAGAACTTCTCAAACCACTGTAAAGAGCTCGTCTTCCTTATAAATCAGTTTCGTGCGCTTCTGAATCATAATGAGCAAGTGGTACAGTATGAGTTTGTGAGTACAAGCAACAGTCACCGTTATTGTCTCCAACTACCTACTTGAAATTTCAGCCAATTAATTCATCTCCAACAATTGCTCATTAGTTAAATCGAATTTTCATCTCTGATTTATGTCCAGTTATCGTGAATGTTTTCCAGTCATCTCATTTAGTGTTTTTTCAAGCTCAGTTAGCTGTGCTCTCCACCAGGTTTTCATTAATACTCACAGAGATTGCTTTATACTATTACTTGCTTATACTATCTCATTAAAAACAGTTTTCTCTCGTTCACTGTCATTTTCGAATTAGAATTTCAGCTTGATTCTAAACAACAGTTAGTTATCATTTAACGGTTCGCTTTCCCAGTTTCATAGCAAGCTGTTCGTGTGCCAAAAGTGGTTCCTCCACGTTTTCTTATACACGCCTGTGGAAGTCTCTTGCTCCTCATTTTATCCTTCATGTTAATCCACATTAAAGTCAGACCATGTCTCCTCCCGCTTCTTGTCTGAATTTCATAAATGTATGATCGCTCGGTTATCAATTACCGTATTCTCAATAACAAATTCATGCATACACGATGAGAACTTTTTGCTACTCAAATATAGCTGAATGCAAGACAAAATTTCATAAACTGAATCAAAAATAATTTATTTCAATTTGACGAATAAATCAAAACAAGATAATAGGTTCAGCCAGTTCCTCCTCTGATTTGTTGATAGTGACATCTGGAAAAGGCGGGGAAGGTGGGAATTTCTTAATTTGGAATTGCCTGAATTAAGCATTCTGAAACTAAACATGCTCGCTGAGTCGATTTTATAGAATAGTGAAAGTGTAGATGTTTGATGATACTCGCCATTCGCGTTATCGCTTTTCTGAAAAGCAAAAGTCATGATATGAATTCTACTCCCTTCCGATATTATATGCCGTAACAGCCCTCTTTTACGATGATAAAGATCCCTTCTCACTGCTGAACAGCAAATAAATTGAGACGGCTTATCAGTAGCTTGTAGAATTTCATTGTATGAATTCGCTCTATCAGTTAACGGAGTGTGTAAAGAAAGAAAAACAGCATGCTCATATACATTCATTTTTGATCTTTGACTGAATCGAATACAATCAGTATATCAAACACTGGACTGATTCTCTTGTACAACATACGAATAAACTTTCCTGTGTTTTGTGGTATTGAGTTTAACATTTTATTTATAATTGAAGGTGTGGGATGGGCATTAACATGGCTCGCGGGCGAACGATTATTTACGCAGTCTTTAACAGCAGCCCAGAATCTACTGTATTTAATCTATTCAGTAAGAACACGCTTAAGCTGGGCACTGGACTGTGATCACCCGTACAATAATAAGCTATGTGTAAATTTTCTTAAGGAAAATGTATCACATGGCCAGGCCCAACATCAGCCTGATAATAATTGGCCATCTCAGCAATTCAACAGGTTGTATTTTTATGCACACTTGTTTTTTTCCGAGAGGAGGGATCAGAGAGGGGGATATAGAATTTCTCTGAAGAGGATATGCAATTTTAACTGATGATGCCCAACAAAACTTTTTACTAGTAAAATGAAATACAGAGTATGATAGCAGTTATATCACTTTCATGCTAAAAAGTTGTGTTCTCCATCGATCTGTCTCCATTAAATTTGTACTTCACTGTTTTTGATCTTCGTTCTTAATTGAACGTAGCCTGAATTCGTTCGTGGCAGTTTTTCGTCCCGATTTCAGGTTAAGATGCGAACTCAATCATGATACACTTATCGGTTTTCCCGTGACTGATATGAGAGTATCATTTAATTGTTACTACATCAAATTCTTGTTGTTTTTTTTCGATTGGAACAAGCAGTAAGTGTTAATTGAATTTGATGTGTAGATTTGGTGTGCGTGGAGTAGCATTAGAAACCAACGTTTCGCGATGGATACCGAATGCTTGGTACTTCGGTGAGCCTAACATTGTGAACACTTTCTCAATTGAACTACCTCCATTGCCTCTTACGGTCTCTCATTTGCTTATCTGGTTGAGCATTTTCTTAATCCTTTACAAGTAAGCTGAATTATTTAATAACTGATTATGATAATAACATTTTCTTGTTATTAAGAGCTTGATATCCGTTTATGCCATGTATGCTTTCTTTCATTGTTTTATGATATTCAGAAACCTAATTTTCAATTCTTTGCTCTATAACTGTTTTATTTCGACGTACAGTTGAATGCTTTATTGAAGTAGTTTCACTTACAATTAGCATGACCGGTAGAGAACCAAATTGGTTCAGTGTGTTAATCTTTCAATGACAACTAAATAAAATTGTTTCATCATTTGCAGTTACATGTAAAGAAAGATAATTTTATTCAGATTCCGTACAAACCCTGGCTGGTTTTTGATTCGCTTCTGTGTTATTCTGCCGCTCGGATTATTTACAGTTCTTCTCACTGGTCTCGCAATATTTGGATTTTCTTTCTCTCATGAAGTTGAGAAAGAGCTGAATCCTGATCTCGTGGAAAAATATCCATTCGAATATTTCTCGGAAATTCACGTAGTTTTTTGATTCCAAAATCATATTAAATTTATTCTGATTTGTAATTTTCAATGGATGACCCCAGATTTTATCTAATAGAGGCTGTCTCTGGGAATAATTCAGTAATGCGCGCTTATTGATTTGAATCGTTTACCTTTTTGATAAGGTCAAGATCACTTACTGATGATCCGATTGATGTAAGTAGATCAACTTTTTGGCACGACACTCATCAACTGGCAGAATTACTGACAAAATAATAATAACGATAAGTATAATGCTAAAAATAATAAAAATAGCAATAGTGATGATAATGATAATAGTAATTATAATAAATACTAATGATAGCAATGTCTCTTTCAGGGTTTCTACAGAACTACGATTCTGTTGATGGACTATTCATCTGCATTTACAGGCATCATAATATTTGCTTCAAGTCGAATTCGTTCTGGTAATTTACCATTGAATGCAATAGTGCTACTCACGACGCAACTGGCTAGTTTCTCGTGTTCATATTTAACCGAAAGTGATATAATAATAATAATAATAATAATAATAATAATAATAATAATAATAATAATAATAATAAT